TCCCTGAAGGAGACATTACCCACAGGGAGGAGAGGCGCACAGACCTTCCGAGTTTCGGATTTGACAGCAATGCTCACGGCCGTGGGCAGGATGCTGCAGGCGGCGGTGCCCTGCATCCTGCTGGGAGGGTTACAGCATCTCCCTGCCCTCCAGCAGGGATGTGCCACTGCATAAAAGGATGAGCAGACTTCAGGGGTGCTGTTACCGCAGAGGAGGGGTGTGTGTGCACAGGTGCATGGGGAAGGTCCCAGTCCAGGTACAGCTCACACCTGGATTTCTCAGGACCTGGCACGTTAGATGCTTTTCAAGAAAACTTTTCAAGTTTTCAAAACTTTCTCAAGACTGTCCCTGCCCTGGCCCCTTCCCGCAGCGGTGCTGCTTGTGCTAATGTGTATAGCTCCCAGTGCTGAGCTATCACCAGGGCTCCTGAGGGTCCTGTGCATGCCTCATGCTGTCTGAAGTGAATCACAGTTACAATTCCCAACACTGCAGCATGAGAACCACAACAACACATGCATTTCCTTGAAATGTAAAGCTAGCACTAATGAATACAAGAGTTCTGCATGTTTCCTTATGCAATGACCCAAATCTTGCAGAAAATCTCATAGATTCCTCCTCTCACAATCAGCGTGTACAGAAAGCAAATCCTGATCCCACCTGTCCAGTCCCCTCTTCCCAGCCCGCTACCCGGCCTCCTCCTTTGACACGAGGCAGAGGAAGGAGCATCACCTGCTTGGGTGAATAGCTCAGAGGTAGAAGCTTCCTGACAGAGGACCTGGCAAGACCCCTGCTTGGTTTTGCTTTCTTCAGGGGTTTACAACCCTCCATTTCACAAACCACTTCAGAAAGGAGAACGTCTCCTCATGGAACCTCTTCCCATGTGTGCTTCACTGACTACAAAGCACTGAACTTTCCTCTAGTCTGATCACTTGTGAAAAGCCGATTTTCCCATAGATGAAAGCAGCAGACACTCTCTGCCAGACCATGCTTTGGCTGTTGGGGGATTTCCCCTATACCCACCTCCCTGCTGAGGGCAGGTGCCCTGGAAATGACAGTCATTAGGCAGCCTCTTATCTCATTCTTCTTTCTTCCAGTGATTTTTATCACAGCCTGGTATTTCCCTCTTCAATCTGCTTTGCCCTGATCCTTAGCAGCTGCACCGCGGTTTGTGGGCATCTCTCCCACTCTCTTTCTCCCCAGACATGACTTAAAGTAACTAAGCAACAACCCTCATTCTTTAGGTTGATCTTGAGTATTGATTTTCTGTCCTGTTTATAATGAAGAGGAACTCTCCAAATCAGCTTTCCAAATCTGCACTCTACTGATGCCACTGACCTGAGAGCAGAATTGTTTCTTTGCCCTGCTGAAGAGCAGCAAAAGCTTGTTACTCGCAGACTCCCCGAGGAGTATGAAGTTCAGAAAATGGAAAGTTTTTCCAAAAGTATTATGTGGTGTACATAGTTTGCTTCTTCAGTCTCTGCTTCTTCCCAGTTTACAATGCCACCTGACATTCCAGCAGTCCACAGCCTGGCGCTCTGATCACGTGCGTCACAGTGTAACTCAAGCCTCCAAGCTCATGGCTTGAGAAACATGCTATCTCCTGCCTCTTATCTGCCACAATATTTGTCAAGTCTCTATGTGACTCATATTTGAATTATTCCTTCTCTACCCAACAAACATTCAGGGTCTTCTGCTGAAAAATTCTGCATCTTGACTTCTACTGAAATGATCTGCATGTAGTGGATTTTGGCCATGCTTTTGTGTGCTGCTAACCTTAAAGCTGGAGAAACAATCATTTTACCTCTGTTTCACCCTGGAACTCTGGTGCCACCATGAAACAGGAAAGTCCAAAGCCTTTGCAGTAAGTTTGGGTTAAATGCCCCATGCAACTTTAACTCAGCTGCTTTATGTACATGCTCCATGACAAATTAATATTTCTCTACAATGAGTGTTTCATTCTTTATGAATGGATGTACAAACAGTTCTTCCAGAAACAGACAAAAAAAAAAAAAAAAAGACTTATAAACCTGTGAGGTGAATCTACAAGTCACCATTATCCCCTGTGCAAAGTGGGTGCAGAAAATGCCATTAACACAGTCTGCCCTGAGAGCAGAGGTCAAACCAGCACTGCATCTGACAGCGAGCCCACCCACACCTTACGTTCCTAACAGCCCAGGCTGGGCAGGAAAGGGCGAACGAGCACGTGTGTAACATGAAAATCCACTGAAGGTGCCATGCACCAAGTGTGAGGGGTGATGGGGCAGACTGGGGATTCCTGCCCAAGAGACAACTGGGGGTGCCTGCTTGGCGTGGTGGGGAGGTCCCTTTGGGACGGGCAGGAGGACCTGATTTCCCCGGCTGCTGTCACGGAGGGCCCAAGGTGTATGAGACGAGCTCTGCTGTGCTTTGCCTTGCCCCTCCATCCAAAAAGACCCCACCTCCACCCTTACCCCGCTCCGGCTGCCCTGTGTCAGTACCTCATGGCTGTGGGTCACCCACAGCGTGTCTGGCAGAGCCCTGTCCCTGGGCTGTGCTGTACAGAGGCAGCCTGAAGCTGGGCACTGCAGGCACTTGGCTGCCTGGGCATGGCCAAGCGCTCCCAGGGGTCTGCCAGCACGTCCTGACGGCACTGCTATTGCCAATGCTGCAACCACCAGGCTGGCGAGGTGAGGGCCGTTCCTCCGCGCTGCCTGGGCTCCCTTTGCTCCCTCCCTCCGCACACCCATGCCCTCTGGAAAGCTCCCTGGGAGCGGCTGGCCCGGCCCCAGAAGCACCAGAGCCCTCGAAGCCGCCCCACTGAGCAAACACGGGTGGGAGTGGGAGGCCTGGAGGAGGAGGGATGTGCCTCAGAGAAAGCCTGCTCTCCTCCACCTCTGCTGGCAACCACCAGAAGAGACAGATTAGAGCTGAATTAAGTTGCCAGCATTAAACAAACACGCCTGTTCTCTTTGAAGTTCTGCTTCCCTTTAACATGAGCTCATTTCTCATTGTTCAGCCCTAGGAAGCCACGAGCTCCGATGGAGTTAACTCTTTGCAGGGCTCCTCAGCTCTGCCAAGCACTGCATCTCACCCCGCTCGCACCCACCGAGACGGCCGGGCCCTTGTGGGAGCAGAGGCCGGTGTAGGCGCAGTCATACCGAGGGTCCTGGCCGTGGCTCTCCCTGCTGGGAAGGGCCCCCCCTCGGTTCAGCAGGAAGCTTTACCGCAACGGTTCCTGGAGCTAAAGGAAACGGGGATGCCTCTGCGGTGAAGCCTCCTCCAGGCCTGCCAAGAGCAGCACTCACAGGCCCCGGGGGAGCTGAGCTCAGCCCTCCTGCAAGGCTGGGCGGAGGGGAAAATGAACAAGGGAGGAATTGAGATTGGGAAAGAGGAAGAAAGTTCCCAGAAGTCCCTTCTTTTGGTTTAATCCCACAAAGCGGAAATTGGAAAGTTTGGGACAGGAAAGGATGGGGATAAAGGAAAATCTTGCCACAGAGAGGAAAGTAAAATACCACAAAGCCAATGCCGATCCCGACTCTATGGTGCTTTTGCATGGCTCACACAACCTCTGCCAGTCCCTGCTGCTGCCGCAGCAACTGGAATACCTGTCAAAGACAGCAGAGATCTGCCTGAAAGCACGTGTTCTGGCTGGAAGCGTGGAGATGTGCCTTCTGCTCACTGTTTCTGTACATGAGCAGGAACCACGGAGTCCCTGCAGGTTGAGCAAATACACGAGGGAAAACTGGGACAGGCCGGCAAGGAGGAACAAGCGTTTCTTAGAGGGCACCCGGCCACCACAGGGCTGCTCCAGGGCTGGGGGGTCCTGGGCACTCTTCCCTGGCACAGAGAGGGGTGAGGCAGAGCTCTCCACCCCTGGCTGCACAAAAGCTCCTACCTGCCACCAACACGTCCCTGCCCCTGGTGTGGTGCCTGAGAAGCACCTCGGGGACACCGGGCAGGAGCCCCCAGCCCCAGGTCAGGAGCGAGGGAGAGGCTGGGAACACCACGGCTGGACACGGGCATCCAAGATAAGCAGCCTTAGCATGATAAGTGCCTCCCAGCCTAACAGAAACCATTCCTGGCTGGGGGGAGCTCACAGCACAGCCTGCAGGCCACCTTGTGAGGCGAGCCCAGGCCACGTGCCCAGACACTGGCCCTGCAGCACCAACAGGCCTGGTGCCACCACAGGGCCGCAGGACAGCACCAGCCTGATGGACTAGCACAAACCCTGGATTTTCAAAAGGAACTGTCTCATCGGAGAAACGCCTTTCCTAAGTAATCCTTCAGCTCGGGCAGGGAGGTTCCTCTCCTGCTTTTAATTTCACTGCCAGGCATGCGCTGGACTCGCCAGCCAGCAAATGCTAGAGGGACCTGCACGGGGACAGTGCCAGCTCCTGTGTTCCCAAATAACTCTCACACTTGCAAGCTAGACACATGGCTGAAACTCTCAACAGCCAGTGTTCAGGCATCAGCAAGTCAGAAAGCTCCCCAGTACCATCCCTAACCAACCATCACAGCTCTCGGAACACAGCGGGCACTGCCTGACCCAGACCTGCTTTTTCCAGCAGAGACTGCAGCAAACGGCACAGCAAGATAGCACTGTCAGAAGTACAAACTGGCACAGTACGGCTACTTAAAGACAGATAATTCTCTCATTATTTCCTTATTATATCTCCAAATATCCCAGTTCCTGTGGGAAAAGGTCTGTGTGTGTTCTAGGGACACAGGAAAGACTGAGGAAATTCCTGAAGAGGAACAGAACATGACACAGCATTGCCTTCCCTCCAAACAGCCACCATGCTGCCCGTCTTTTGAGATGGCTGCTGCCTAGCACCTTGACGCCAGGCTGCCTGTTACACTGCCAACAGATATGATCATCTGTACCTTCACCACACATGAAATTGTGATAAGAAAGCCTGAGACGGCACCCAGATGTCCTTGCTGCTAGCTTCTGCCTGTTTTGCTGCCCTTGGAGAGCTGAGTGGATGAAGAAGACAGCAAAACAACAACATGGACCTTACCTTTTGTTCCAGGAGGCTGCAGATTATCTCCAGTCAGCGAGCACCAGCCTACGGGAAAGATGTCCCGGGAATCATATCGGCACCAGTAATCGAAGGCACCTCTCCAGCCATCAAATGTTATGAGGACCTCAGAACCTCTCACCTCCCCAATGGTGGCCGGGCAGATGAAGTGAGGGTTCTTCCTGTCCACTGCCTCCAGCTTCATACCTGTCTTGAAGAAGTTTTGGGATGGAGATGGTGGTTCCTACAAGGAGAAGTTGAAAATATTCTCAGCGAATGCCAGTGCCTCCCCAGATCAGGGCTTCCTTCTCCATCAGCACTCACCTCCACAAGCAGATGGAGAAGGGAGCTAGTGGGACAGATCTGAACCCCGATTAGATGTGCACGAGTTGGCCTAGCTACGCAGCCATGTGCCTTTACATTCATGAGGCAACAAAGTCTATTACTGACTGCTCTATCATCACCAGGCGGCTGGACCAAATCCAGACAGCGCTACATTAACACTGCACCCTGTGACAACTCTGTCATGCATGACAGAAAACAAAGCTCTGAAGAAAAGAGCCTCTGCAGGATACTCTCACTTTGTACCTCAACCAGAGCAGGAAAAGCTGAGATGTGACAGTCTCTTTCCATCATTCTTTCTCCACCTTCAGCTTTGCTAGATGTATGAGAAGCCCGTCAGCCATCCTTATCTGGGGCTTGCTCTGCCTGGTCTTTTACAAAGAGATACAGTAAAACCACCCCAACCACCCCATATGATGGCATACGCCTCCCAGACTGGTCTCTGTCCCTCTCTCTTCACTAAGCGGACGAGAATACAAACTGAGAAATCATACTTGCACTGTTGCTTCACAAGCAACACAAGGTAGCTGCATCCCTTGCAAGCTCTGGTACATTAAAAAGCTTCAGGGAGAGGTGCTGACTTTTATATAGAGAATTGGAGAAGCACCCGCTGCCCAGGTGAAAACAAGCACATCTCTCAAGCCCCAGCGTTGCAGTCCAGCTTCCCAGTAGACCACAGTCTGCACCCTGACCCCTGCTCAATGCAGCAGCAGAGGGTACGGATGTGTCCCTAGGGAAGCAACGTGTGGCAGCACTGGGCCATGTGTTCAGCTCCTCTGGGACCGATGGACCATGAGAAACTGTCTGTGATTCTGATGCTCTGCAGCAGAGGGGCCACACCAGAAAGACGTCTTCACAAACAGTAAGATACCTTGTGAAAAATCCGGACAGGAGCCATCTCTGCTCCATTCAGAGTCTTCAGAAGGAACATGGGCCAAGAGGAGGCATTCAGCCGGAAGCCTGCAGAGAAGGGAGCAGAGATGGACGTAAGGCTGGGAGGTCACTGGATCCAGCCACACATGCCTGTCCTGACAGGAGCTTTGCAGCGGGCACATGTTGTGATCCCACACCACCCTCCTCTGAAAGCAGGAGTCAGGCTTGACCTTTTCCAGATACTCCAAACGCAAAACATTATGTTGCTGAAAAGAAACATCTGGAAATGGATGTTTGACTGCAATTTTCACTTATCATAACAAAAGTCTGTACATTGACCATACAGGCATTGTGCGTAGCACTGGTGCTGGCAGCTTCAGTGATCCTGCTACGGGGGAGACATGAATCAGCAAGTGCTCAGGCTATGAAATGTCTGCCTCAGGAGGGAATCTCAGCTTCTGGGTGGCCCCCTCCACCTTTCAGGAGTGAGCTGCCAGCAAGCTGACCTGAAGAAATAAAGAGGCTGTGACTTGGCTAGGAAACGGACTTAACCATTTAACCAAACAGAAAGGATGGCAACTTTTGGCTCAATACCTTCTGTGAAAGAAGCAACAGGAAGAGGCATATGGGAAGAAAAAAGCAAATTCTCATGCTCTGAGTCAATGGACTGAACACAACTGCACAACAGCTCTGTGTCCACTGGTCAGCTCTGTTCTTTCTACACCCTTTGTTGTAAGACCTGCTCTCTAGAAAGGCTTGTGGTATTAATCCCAGAGGTGACAGAGCCCAACACGCTGTCTTCTTTGAAAAAGTGCACACACAAAAAAAAGATCAGTGAGAAAGTAGAAGCGAATGATGAAAACCATCGCAGAATCTGGCATGCAGGAGCCCTGTGCATGTAGTGTCCCACTGAAGATGACAATGGGATACCTGAATGTACAGAAAACACAGACCTGGAAAGTATGAGCACAAAGATCATCTCCAGATATCACACAACACGATCTTTGCTAAATGCAAGGCTGTACCTTCCTGCATTGGCAGTTTCTGCTGTTGAGCTGAACATGGCATTGCACTTTCTGTATTTGTGGTATTTTGAAGGTAACGCTGGGAGTGGACCTACAGGGAAAGCATCCCACAACGATAAATGAGGCAAAGTTTTGCAAGAGCTCAAACACCAGAACACAACCAGCTCAATAAAAACCACTCTGGTTAAGAGAGCTAAGCTCCTGGGGGGGGCAAAAATGACCTTTGGGTAATGGAGTTACTATTACCTTTGGGGTAGTATGAATTATCCACGTACAGGAGAGCAGCAGCTTATGTATGCACACAGAAAACACCACAAGGAACACATAAGTTCCTCACCTCGTTTTCTGGGATCTTGTACTCTGCAGGCAGAAAGGGCAACTGCATTGCTAGCTACTTGTTACTGGTGTTCATGCTGGGCACAAGAGAAGTACTCTCATCTGGACCAGAGTTAAGCAGGTGACACAAAACAGAGCTGGACACAGACTTCTTCCACTGAGTACTAACCTAACCTGCTCCTCTGGCACGGACAATCAGTTTTGTTCCGTGACTCAATTATGTTTATTGCCATCTGCTGGCAAAACTCAAAAAAGGCACAGGAGGAACCCACCCCTCTCAGGGGGGACAGGCACCTGTGTTTGCTGGGCAGACCGCACCAGAGGTGTGAATGGCACCCTGGGACCTGGGTTTCAAAGAGACGTCTGAAAATGGACAGCAGCATGTATTAAGGTGACATAGGTGACATGAAAAACTGCAGCTTTAATGTTAATAGCTGCAGCAGGTTCTGTCTGTAGTAAATATGAAGGGAAAGAGTGTAGTGCAACTTGCATACACATGGCATTGTCTGGAGTGACACGGCAAAACGTGCACTTACTGATGTTTTTTCCTTCAGAAAGGTCAGTCCCAAGTGTCCCATTGCAATTTATACCCGACTTCCACCAAAGCTCACAAATGATGCTCCAGAAAAAAATAAAAATACTTCTAACTCAAGGTATTCTATTGAAGGCTTCTTCCATCACTATAGATCGGCTTGATATTATCTGGGGGTGTGCTAATTCAGGAAGTGTTTTATGAAGACGCTTCAATAATAATTGGCAGCAGAATGCAAAAGCAGGTTAATCCTGCTGTTTAATTAAGAAAGAACCAGCAAATCAACTCGCTATTCAGCATTGTCAAAAAAAAAGATGCGTGTTTAACTGGAGATGACACTGGCAGAACTATTCGACTATTCAGGTTATTTATAAAGCTGTAGCTGAGTAAAATTAAATAAACAAACAGATGAAATATTGCAACTGTCCCTTCATTCTACACAGGACTTAAATCACTGGCAGCCTTTTCAGACATCATCGTGTTTTCCCATCTGATGGTCTCCAGCTAACCTGCTATTGCTTCTAAGGCACCTGGGCACAAATACACTTAGACAGCAAGAATGAAAATTTAAATGCTTTTGAAATCACAGTGTCAGGACTAGCAGTGATACAGTAGATGCCTCAGCCCTAATTGCTCTCTTGGTTATTCTCTACATCAAGATTTAGAGTTCTCCAGCAAAGCATCTCTACCAGGATGTCAGTACAGCGCTCTGCTCTAAGGGGAGGTGCTAGGGACATGCTGCTGGACGGCAGCTGTTTTCTGTTAAACACAGCTTTGACATGACAGCAACTGCAAGCAGGATCAGAAGACTGCAGCAACAGGCAACGGCCTGTAATCAGGCCTTGGCTAGAGCTATGTGCCAGCACTGCCCCTCTGACTGTGGGGTGTCTCCCAGAAAAAAAACAACAGCCTGGATATATCTTGTTCGTGTGCTGGCTCAGGAAAGGTCATCAATAACTCTGCCTTCACTGCTCCTACACACACCCCCGGGTGATCAGAACTTCTGGAGGCCCCTCCTTTGCTTCTGTATCCTCTAGGAAACTTAAGTGTCTCTCAGACTCTTTCCCACAAATGGCTGGAAAATGTGTTTCTCCTTTGAGGTGCAACAGGGAGAGCTTCAGAAGGCATGAGAGCATGGTCAGCATGTGCCAAGCCCATGCTTAAGCTGCAAGCTGCTCACTTGCAAGCGAGCTATCAGCTCATCTAAGTGCCAAAAACACTTTAATATACACTCCAACGCATCTCCCCATCCATGACACAATGTGCACGTGGAAATACAAACCTGGTGTGGAATACATCTGATTAACAGCCCAAGCTAACTGGGCTAGTCTACATCACTGTGGTAGGCATGGGCAGTCTGCGGGCCTCTGTCCCAAGCACAGAAATGTTAAAAAACAAAAAGGTTTTTCCCCACAGATGATGTAGGTGCTTGCTGGACAGTTGAACTTCAGCTCACCCAGTGGAGGCTGCAGCATCCCTCCATTCTTCTCACAGTTTCCTATGGGCTGGATTTCGGCAGAGTCCACCAGCCGCCAGAAGTCATTCTTGTTATCGCTGCCATCGAGACGCAGGCGGAGGCGAGCGCCTGTCAGACCCACCACCGTGGCAATGCAAGTGGAGGTGGTGTTCCTGGGGTCCTGGGCTTCTAGTTTCATACTGATCTTGAATTCGTTTGCAGGTGGCGTGTATGACTGCAAAGAGAAGGACGGGGACCCAGTTAGAGCCAGGATTTCCAATACAGGTACCACCTCAGTCCAAAAGCTGAAGCCTGAAGATGATGAAATTTGTTTCTACCGAAGACTGACAGCAGATATTCCTCTGTGCTGCTGCCCCTCTGCTGGGACTGACGTGCGCCATGCCAGTTCTCTCCTGTATCCCCTGTATTCAACACAACCACCTCTGTACTCAAAGCACCCGATGCCCAGGGGGCTGCTATTCCATTCCTACAGAACTGGTGAATTCTGTGGGAAATCTTGCTGGACGGGATCCAACAGAACCTGTATCACATCCTACTCAAAACATTTTCTCCAAGGGCCTGTGCTCAGCAGAGAAAAAATTGTTCTTGTGTCCCCATCCATTCACATCTGAGACTTAAATCTTCTGTGCTATGTTAACATTTGCAGTGCCTAAACATATCTTTTTCATCTCTGCTTCAGCACACTATGATTTCTATTAAGGCTCTGTTTTATCCTTACCATCTTCCTTGCCAAAAAAGGGGCCATCCCAGGCACTAAACTCCTGGGCTGCAAATGACCCATCTTCCTTGGATTTCTTGTTTTCATTCATCCTCTTACCTGCTTGAAGCAATGGGCAGGAGCTGGGATGGCACATGTCTCTTTCAGGTATTTCTCCCAGGTGAAGTGACCTAAGGAAAAAAAAAAAAAAAAGAAGGGGGGTCATTCAAATAGGATCTGATGAACAAAAAGCTCAGAAAAGAGATGGCTGGAGTCCTAGAGCCAGCAGTTCTCCACTTCTCACAGAGGAGGTGCTCACAGGCAACATGTTTTCACCATGATCCTCTGATGTTTGTGACCACAGAAGATTTACAACTGCAGCTGACAGGCAGAACAAAGCATGGCGCTGCCTCCGGCACCGTGCTGCCTCTGTGCTGCTGATGGAGGGTCTCAGAAAGCAAGGATAACAGCCCACATCGTCACATAAAATACCCAGCACAGATGGGAATCCGTGGAGTCCACTAGACAACTGCCCCTTAAGAATCATTCATTAGACACTGCTCTGACTGGGGATTAAGCACAGTCACTAGGGGCAAAGAGCTAAAAGCAGCCCAGACCAACAGAAACCTTGCAAGGTGCTGACTTCGTGGTTCTCCCGTCCAGTATGCCCACAGCCTGCCCTGCCAACCAGCAGCTCCCAGCAAGTACCAGCCCACCTACAGAAATAATTAGCGGACAGGTAAGTTTATTGATTAATTCCCTGATATGGGCACGAAGCCCACGGCTCGGGCAGGATGGAAGCAGGGTTTCCCAGGACAGGGATTTACGGAGCAGAGCAGCCCCCATCCAACAGCAAAGCCCCTTCCCCCGAGCGTTGCTTTTATCACGCCTGCACTGCTTCTCATGTACAGCAGCGATGGTGAAAGCAATATGGCATCCAGGGAAACCTGTTATTAAATGAGGAATTAAAAGCTCCCATGATCCGAGCAAATCATGACTTCTGCCATTTAAGCTGAGCAGCTGGGAAAGGATCCTTCCAGCATGACATTAGCTTGTATTCATCCCAACGGCTCCCAGGAGACCGCTGTTTTCAAGTCATTTCAAGAGCATTGGTGGCAGCACAATTAAAGAGCGGCTACCGCTTCCCCTATTCATGTCAAGTTTTTAATCAGTCTGTTTTCAAAACAAAAGCTACATTAAGAGCCATTTCAGCTACTGCAGAGCATACCACACCTCTGAAAATCCGGGCGCTGGGGTCAGCACACATTGCTTCAGTTCTGCCTCACGTGCGCAGAAGCCTTAGGGGCATGATAATCCACCAGCTTCAAATAAGTAAAAGAAACACTGCTTTCTTGCCACCTCCATGCTGATAACTAGCACTCTTCTAAATACAGTGGTAAAGAACAGAAAAAATACAGTTTCACTGCCACAGTGGCTGAATGCATTGCTTTTACACACTCTGACAGCAGCTCTCCATCCCATCAGCTGGCACGCGTTTCCTTTCAGCCAGCAGTCTCACATGGGGGGGAATGAAGAAATTAAGTTTCACTGCAGCGGTGCTCTCACAAACAGGAATTTTTGTGGCTTAATTGAAGATATGATCTTTAACTCTATGAAACTCTTTGCATGAATAATGTGTAGTAAGTATACAGCCACAGCAAACCCAGACGGAGGACTCCAAGCCCAGCAGCCCTGCCATGAAGCACTGTGCTGCTCTCCATCCGTGAGTTTGGTTCCTGATCTGGGCTTGTCTCAGACCAGCCTGACCCTTTGGAGCCCGTGTCCATAGAGCACCCAGTGATCATACCAGGATGAGGAGCGCAAGCCTCAGGGCCTCAGCAAGCCTCCTAAAAAGCATCAGCTGCTTTTGACAATTTTATTTAGAAAAAAAAAAAATACAGCTCATCCTCCCCTCAGCTGGTTTCAATCCCTCACTATTAAAACTAGTTCTGGTTTTAATCCTTCCACTTTTCACTTACTCCTGACCAAGTGAGGCCATTTGCTCTCTGCAACAGCTCACACCGCAGTCGAGATCAATGCTGCAAAATTCCTGCAGGAGCAGTAAATTTCGGAGACAGCTGTGTGCCTCTAAAAATAGTGTTTGGACATGGAACTTATTTGAGATTAATTCTAGAGCCTGTTGGGACTCAACCGCCATATGAAGACACACACAGCAGAACTGCAGCTACTAACAGCTCACATTTCTGATGACTTCTTTTGCAAAGAAAAGGAGGAGCAGCAGAGAGACCCTGAACCCCAACAAAAAGACAGAGGATATACAGTGGAGTTAAACCTGCCTTCCTTCTCTGCTTACAATGGGTAATTTCTTTCCGTAAAAACAGCACAACAATCCGAATTAGAGGCTGCACGTCTGTTCCAGCATTACTCATAAAACGGGACAGAAAACGTATACTGAGTTAGAGGGCACCACCTCTGCCTCAGCACAGCTCCCTTCGCAGAATGCTGGAATGGTTTTAAATGATTTCAGGAAAAATGTTTAGCTCATGATACAATGCTTTTCAACTGGGAATTTCAAAGTGCTTTAAAACATAACCAAATATGATCAACTTCAACCTAACAATGCAGGAAGAGGAAAATGGCACAACACAACAAAAGTTGGGCTTTTACAACAAAGGGAAAGCTGACAGTAAAACAGAAAAAAGGAGGAGATTCTTCAAGCTTTTTTAACCAGGGAGCAGAGAATGAGCCCTGACACACATCAATAAACCGGGTGTCTCGCCGTGGGGGGACAGGGTGTTTTTGTCTTCTTATTTGGCCTGGGCAGACAGCACTGCTTAATATTTTCTGAGTGTTGGTCAAAAAACACTGGTGGCTTCTCTCCAGCTCCCAGTAAGCGGCTTTGCTTCATGCAAAACCAGCACTTCATTCTGGTGACAGGGCAGGGGTGCCAAGGACAGAAGTGTCTGCAGGGACTGACAGCCTCTCTTGCCCCGAAAAGCAAAGGGGAGTGCTTGCTCCCCTGTGTGCTGCCAGCTTCCAGCACTATCTGCAAGATGCCCTCCTGGTCCAACAATCACCCTCTGTTTTCCCTCATCTCTGCCTCCCCTTTTTCCACTCTGCTGCAGAGCACACCATACCCCTACAGACTGGAGGGATCATTTGTTTGGCCAGACCGTGTTCCTCAGTAAAACATACATCAAATCTTCTTTTCAGGCAGAAACAAGAGAAGGACACTTAATGAGAAACACCACGTCGCTGTAATTACAGTTGTGAGCTAAACAAAAGCCAAGGATTATAAACCTGTATAGCTCCCTGTAAGTCGGCTGTGAAAATGCCTATTAAGGACAACTGCCTGTCACTTTTGCTTGCCTTTGGAAAGTGCCTTACAGTGTGCTAATGCCAAAGAAAGATATTACTTGCAGGCAGTGCACCAGATTGGGGCTCTGATGTCTTAACATTTAAAAATATTTACTACAAACAAAACACTCCACACACCCAAGGGGTCAAACTACAGTAGTTGTGAACAATGCAACTCTGCACCCTTGTGTTTCTATTCTCATCATGTTGCATTTAATGTTGATCTGTTGCCCAGAATTTAAATGGAGTTTCTGTTTATATCTTTAACCGAGTCTGGTTTGGGCTCCATTAGCATTTCAGCTCCCAAGGGGTCATCAATCCCACTGAAATGATACATGTGTGTTTCAGGTCACATCTGTGAAGGAGAGCGTGCCCTACCCAGATCAAGGCATCCCATTAAGGTCTGCAGCCCATATGTGTGTCTGCTAACTAGCATCAAGGCAGCACATGAAAGCAGCACAGTCGGAGCCAACTCAGAACAAAAAGTAGCAGAGCATCGGCTGTGCTCGCAGATCCAAAGGTGACAGTGGCTGTCCCCAACAACAGGGTGCAGCTTTCTGAGGGGCCAGCTCTCCCAGTGCGATGGCACAGCTCCTGCACCTCCTACCCGTGTTACTTTCCAGGCACTCTGCTCCGCTGGCCGTCCGGCCGCACAGTCTCCATCAGTAACAGCTACAGCTGATAACACGATACTGCTTACTCACTGCCTCGCTCACAAGAAATGCAAGGATGTGTGAGCCAAAACTAATAGATTTCAAACACCAACATGTTGTCTGCTTTGCTGCTTCTCAGAGGTGTTCCCACTCAATTTTAGCTTTGAGCAGAAATCCCTCCAGCCTGGACGGCAGGGTGCTTCGTGCCAGAGAGCTGCTGCAGTTTCACACCCCTTGCCGTGCAGCCAAGCTCCGTGCAGGCGGTAAGTGATTCTCTGATCAGAGTTTCTTGAAGGGGGCTGATGTCTGATCCCTGCTGTTATGCCATGTGCCCACTGAGCGCACGCACACAGAAGCATGTCTGCAGTAGTTCCTCCTTAGCTCTGAAACCCTGAGATGCAGTGAGGTGTGGAGACTGGTGTGCACGAGTACTGATGGGAGCGCACACCCCTGAATTTCACAGAAAGCTCCATCTCAAGTTGCACTTGCCTCTGAACAGCAGCCAGCCCTCTGGCATCTGCAAACAGTGCAGCAAAAAGGAAAAAGTAGTGCAGCACCTAATGCCCTGTGGGGACACTATGCAGAGCGCGTGGGAGCTGTGACAGCACCCTGTAATGTCACCTGGAGCTCTGCGCGGGGTGACACAGGGCCCAGGACTTTATCTGAGATGTTAAAGAACTGCCTCCCCTTGGAAAAGGACCTTCCTAAACTGTGATCTGCGGGACTTCAGTACAAGGTAGGTAAGGACAGGTCAGATGCCCCAAAGGAGAATGGTGAGGGCAGCCACCACCCTGAATCAGGGTCTGAGACAGCCAAGCCCCAAGGCACTGCAACCACTCTGGTCCTCACAGGGGCTCTCAGAAACACAGGAGTGCCTTCCACAAGGCAAACACAAGCTTCCTGTTAGAAGTGGTTCAGCTGTTCAGCTCAGGAAACTATTTAGCTTCTTGTTGCTCTGTACTTGGTGGGAAATATGGACATCACCTTCCTAAGATAAATATAAGTGAAATACAAGTCTTGCATACGCTCCATAAAACTGGAAGTTACCTGCATCCCTACCAGCAGACAGCAGGAGCTGGCAGTTTCCTGAACAACCCACAGGTGCCCTGCATGGGAGCACATTGGCCCTGCCCAAAGGGACACCCCGCTGCCTCTGTGCCAGGCTGCCTCGCTGGGCTCCTGACCACAGGCATCAGCTGCTGCCGTGAATGCCAAGAGAAGTTCATGCAGAAGTAAGAAGCTCTCTACATCCTGGACACGTGTAAAAACGTGGCAGAGCCACCCATTTGGCATGCACAGATGGGCAGGAAGAAACAGCTATTCGATCCTGCCTGATTTCAGAATGAGCTGCCTTAGCCGAGTGCTTGCCCTGACATCTTCTCAGCAATTGCTGACTGTGGTCAGAGTTAAACACATGAGGACTGCCCAAAAGCAGTTTTAAATCTGTAAACTAACTTGGCACACTGTAGTTTCCCAGATCCAAGCCAACTCCATAAGCTTTTTGAAAGAAAAGGAAGGGAAAGGGAAGCATGCTGTCTTACCTTGGTACTGGGAGGGAGACTCTGACGGGCGGCTGTACTTGTGCTTTTTACCATCTTTCCAGTCTATGGCTGAGACAAGAAATAAAGCATTCATGTCAGTGAGGGAAGCCAGCTAATGCTCTCTTCAACACTAGCAGCTCGCATCATCTGCTTTGCAGGCATGGGCCACCTCAAAGGAGAGAAACGACCTCCCTGTTCTTGCTGACACACAGCCAGGTAACACAGGTTATGCCCAGAGCAGGGAGATTTTGTCCGAATCTCCTTCCTCCACACAGCTCAGAAGACCTGACACCAAGTCTCTGCACTGCAGCCTCTGCCTAGTCCTCACCAACCAATATTCTTCTGCCATGGCAAGCAAAAAGGTGAAAAACAGCAAACTGATAGATCTTCATCATTTAAAGTACATGAAGAGCTATCAAGGCTCCAGAGAAACAAAAGCCAGAGCCACTAAAAGCAGCTGGCATGCATGCCATGCACCCCAACGGGGAGCCTGAATCGCAGCTCACTCATTGCCTCTGGGGTGCTGCGGCCAGCCACGAGTGCACAAAGACACACAGGGAGCAAAAGCCTCGGCACTCTCCAGTGCTGGGGCTCATCAGCACTTCTCCCAGCGGCTGCACAGTGCCCCGACAGGGACAGCATCAGGCTCCACGGCATCCTCCTCACAGGCCAGAGCAGCAACGTAGCCCTGGCTCTGATGGACATCTCGTCAGAGCTGTCTTCATCATGACAGCTTTGGGCAAAAGAAGTTCTCAAGACTGCTCTGGAAGACAGATTCAGCCAGAAACAGGCGATGCTCATCCCCTCTGGCAGCCCTCAGCCAGACAGAGGGATGCCAGAGCAGCGTGCCATGGCACAGCCTGCACCAAGTGAGCGGCCCATTGTGGGCTCCTCCGTGTGCTGCTGGCTGATGGATGTGCACTCACGAGCACTTTTAGCTGCTACAGTCCTGCTCATTTATTTTACAAGGCATTTTGTAGGCTACTATAAGCAAAACCAACCAACCAAAAAAAAAGAATTTGGGAATTTGGTAGTGCTCTAGAAAATTTGTCCCCGTGAAAAGCAACTACTTGTGAAAGAACAAAAAAGAAAACAGAAAAAGCACAGAAAAAGTTTTGAAATCTTGGAGAAGCAGCTGAAAGAGGCAGGCCATGAGCTGCTGCTAAGTGGATAATCTTAAGGTGTTTAAAATTGCTTTTGGACCATTATTTTAGCAGTCTTCTCTTCATGACATGTTCTTTTCAGTAAAATGCACAGGAAGACTTACTATAGATTTCATCCCTTAAAGGATCAAGAGGGCCATATGCAGTATGGCCACAGGACCATTAGAAACAGACCAGCCAGAGTCTCCTCAGAGAGAGGCAAATGAATGAAAAAGCTGGAAGGAAACCCTTCCTAAAACTGCATTCCCTTCCAAGACAGTATCCTGCTTATCTCCTGATGAGAACAAGGAAAAAGGACACAAGGTATACATGCAACAAACAGAAAAGCCTCCATGATGAGAAACACTCTGCTCAGGATAGCTCTGTAGCAGCCTCTCTGTGCTCGGAGCTGCCTATTGCCATGTTCTGCAGGTGAAGTTATGTTTTATTGTTAACCTTTACCACGCAAAATCCTCATTAAGCAGACTGCAAAAGCAGAAAAAGAGGAAAAATGCAAGAATTTCTGGAGGCAAATCAAAAAAAAAAAAAAAAAGGCAAAAAGTTCAGTGCCTTACTGGAAAAGCAGGTAAGTAGGACAGCAGCCCATCTGCACACAATACAGGTGTTGCTTCTGCAGCACACGGCAGAGCGCTCGCAGCACAGGTCACGCTGCCTGGCGGCACCCTGCTCCACGAGGCAGAGAGGACAAGCTGTGTGCGGGGCTAAATTCAGGCAGCCAGGTCCGCGGCCGTGCTGCTGACTAATCAACCTGCCTCTTCTATTGCCAAGCCCTCCAGCTGCCTCGCAGCATGCTCTCCCCATTCCCCGCTTCCCTTCATTTATTTTCACTTCATTAAAGGACAAGCAGCGTTAGGAAGAGGATAATGCTTCTGTAAGATGAACCACCAGAGAAGCAAAGGAGACGTTTAAAAAAAAATAAAGGAAGGAGAGAAATTGAGCATAGAAATCTCCTGTGATAAGCCTTGTGTGCATGCAGCAGATGTGAACAAAGGACTGCGGAGGATGCACTCTCCTCTGCTGCGCTCCCTTCCCCCACGCTCTGAAGCGCATGTGATGAGATCACTCCCGTCAAATGCACATGTATGGAACAACACTAAAGGAAATCAATATTATTTTTTAAGCACGAGGTCCAGGCGGCTCAGCTGCAGGCAGCCTGCTTGACAGGGCCCTTCTCATCTGGGGGAGCGGGACACGGGGAGTGGGCGTGTGGCTGTCCTGAGCACCTCGCCGCAGCTGCGGGCAAGGGGACGAGAGACCGAGGCTGCGAGAGGTAAGTGCCTGTAATGAATTTCATCTCCACGAGGTAGGCTGGTCTTTGGTTTCATGCCTCATTAGAAGGGGGAGGCTTGTGCCAGCAGAGCAGCAGTTTGCCTCACGCTGGGAGCACGAGCAGATGGTGCGTGCAGCAGCTCCGTGAGCAGCGTCCCGCCTGCCATCGTGCCCCAGCACCGCGGGGGTGTGCAGGGCCACCAGGGCTCCCCCGGTGCCCAACCCTCTGCTCCCCGACCGCTGCTGCAGGAAGATGAGGAAGGAAGAGGCCGGTGGGGCTGCCGGGAGGGCTCCACCACTGCAGGGACCCCTGGGGCCAGCCCAGGCATCCTGGGGGCTGCCACAGCCACGCTGGCTCCTGGTGGGGAACTGATGGAAGCATTCCCTGCACACTGCCAGAGATGAGAAACTCCCTCGTCAGAGCTTTGTTTGCACCTACAGCCAGCATGTTCCCCCACCCTCCCCAAGGCTGGCCACCTGGTCTGCTGTGCTCCATCCTCTGGTCTGAGCAGCTCGCTAACGGGCCTTTGTCTGTGCCAAGCATCACCGCTCACCTTTTTGAGGGCCTGGTTTCCGCATTATATCACCTGCTGCTGTCCTTATCCTGGGACTGGCTTGATTTTAGATAACTGAAGATGTCTAGGATAAAAGAAATAAACATGAGAAAATTCCCCATTTCTGGAGCATACAATCATCTGCAACATTAACTAATTACACAGCGGGGAGAAAATAGATGCTCTTTCACCCCAGGTTGCACAAACACCTCCTACTGAATACAGACAATTCATTTCAAGCCCACTGAAACTAAAAGCCTTTCTCCAATACGTGGAGAGCTTCAAATTTATGGTAGTGGGAGCAGCATAAATAAGCAAGAAGAGCATATGCCAGTCTCTGTGCTAACTATACAGCAGGTCCCAAGTGTGCACATGGAAGGGGGGCTGCTCTTGCTCACTAACAAAGGGAGGCAAAGCTGGAATTTATGAAAGAAAACACATGGAAACATAACATTAACTCTGGCAAAGCAGCACCGCAATCCCCAGCTCGCCACTTGCAATTCAAATTGCTCACAGCAGTTCTGGGTAATAAGGATGAGAAATTGGACAATGACCCAGGAAATATTTTTGCTATTACTACTGCAACGATTGTCCAAGTTGCATTGTATTTTTTTCCTGATTGGAGGAAAACTGGCCAGACTGTCCCCGACAAAAAAAAAAAACAACAAACATTTGCATTCTTGTTAAAAGCAAGTGTTACTGGAGATGGGAGCCGTTAGGTGTGCTCTGGACATGCACGGAGGCCACTGCTCCCACACAGCCACTGCGCAGGGCAGCGCCTCCCAAATGCAGCAAGCCCCAGCCCTGGCAAACCCCGCCAGAAAATACCTAAATGAATGGCTAAGCCACAAACAAGCCCTTAGGAAAGCTAGTAAAAGCATGTTTTGACACTACACTAACTAATTAAAGATTAATTGTGTCAATATAATTCCATTTTGTTCACAGTGGGGCAGTCAGGCTGTAAGAGGAAGCCGTACCAGGACGCTATGCTGAGTTTCCTGCTTACAGGGCTTTTTACAGATCCAGACAGACTACAAGTTTTGATTTTGAAAAACAGCCTTTTTCCACATCTAATAGAAAGCTAAACTCTTAATTTCTCTACAAACGTTGCAAACTACAGTCTTTAGGTGCGGTGCTGGCAACATTGAGCAAAACTCTGAATTAAGACTAAACGAAAAAAAAAGTGAATAGCTGATTTTTAATCTAAAGCAAAAGGTACACAGTAGTCTCTTATTGCCTCTCTCATAAATAGTGTGTGTGTTTGTGCATACTTATGAAAAGAGTAAAGTTTCTTTCCCTTCTAATGCCTGAAAGCAATCAACATGTGAAAGCGTATTTACAACTTTTAATGCTTTTTTTTTCATAATTTTCATCTGTCATTTTTATTAAAAGCTAGCAGTCACGGCAGGAAAAGTCCTCCAGCCATAAACCCCAGGGCGCGAGGTGTTACATAAAGGCAGCAGACAAGCATTCCCCATCTCTGGCTCTGCACCACTGATGTCTGCTTGGCTCCTGTGGACCTGGACTTTCTGCAGCACCTAATGCTGCCCATAAATCTCACCCACTTGGCGCTGGACCACCCATTCTGCACCACTCAGACGGCTTTTGAAAAGCTGCTTCAGCCTCAGTACTTCAGAGCCCTACCCGGCAGGGATGTGTAACCCTTCCCTGCAGGAACACTTGCAGGAGAAATTCATGAGTGCGTACAAGATGTTCAGACACCATTTGTGGAAGACCAGAGCTCAGCAGGCAAGATGAAATAACTCCACACTTGGTCCTTGCTCAGACAGTAAGGAGAGAGACCCAACAATTTGTAAAGCATGAAGACAACTGCCGAGACCCTCAGCTGACACCGTACGTAGCTTCCTGGTAAGATCTCATGTCGTGGAAGAGAATGAGATGTAAATGTTGAGTTGGGGAAAAATCAAGGCAGAATCCCGAAGTTTTTTCCAACCTGAAATAGGCTATAATCTTATTTTGCTGATATCTAGTCAGAAGAGAGGTAGAATCACCCCCACAGTCTTTAGCAAGCCTGAAACACCCCCGTGAAGAAGACAGACTTCAGCTGAGACAGAAGAAAGTGAATGTCAGAATGGGCAAGTTAATGGGCAGGGCAGGAAGAAGTGTGGTACGGATGTACATGTATGTGGTCTTTTACACTGTTCAGGAATCCAACACTGAGAAAATCCTACAGTAATAAACAGCAGAAGCTACAACGTGGTATCCAAAGGGGGAAACTTGGCTGCTCACACAGACAGGAGTTTTCTTAAAGGCATTAGAAAAAACAGACACCTGAGGAGAACCTGTTGGCTGGGTCAGTGTCACTGAGGGGACAATCCCACTTTTGAAGCAGGTGAAGCAGCTGAGATTTAGACAGCCCAGCACATGCTGTAACGCTTCGTCTCCAGACCCTGCCACTTCTACAAAAATGCATACCAGAATTAAAACTCCCTTCATTGTCAAAACCTGTATTTCTCATACTTGTGGCTATCAAGGTAATCTTGCAACCACAGATCACAGTTTTATGTGGTGCTGGTTTCCAGAATTCACGCCCTGAAAGGACATATCAAGGTACAAACTCGTTTAAATGGGATGCTACCTTAAAACTTTAGTAGACCAACTTATTTGCTGTCTTTTGTAGTAGACAAGGTGCCTTTTTCACAGTTCCAAACAACTTCCACTCACCAAGATATCAAAAGTGCCAACGGCTCCACTGAACTGTCATGAGCTCTAGTTCCCCATCATTCCTACAAGACAGCAAAGTCAGTACAAATACTGCAGCATATCAAAACCTGGAAGCACAGAGACAAAATGAAAAAGTTTGCATTTAATTGCAGAAAGGCTAGGTTACCAGCTGCATTATTCATGTTCATATTTAATTCATTTAAGACATCCAAATTTAAATTTAAAGACAGCTGCAACAAACATTCCCACTTGCCATAGCAAAGCAGCGTAGAGCTTGACACAATTTAAGTTCAGCTTGCAACGAGTACACAGGACCGCAGCTGTTAAACACCTTTGATATCAGTAAGATCACATCAACTGAGTTGATATAAACTAGTTCAGCTTTTGTAAAATGAAACTATCACACAAAGAAGGATTTAAAAGACTAGATCTGATTAGTAATAAAAAGGAGAGAGACCTCCAGAGAGGCATATAAAATAATGAACGGCATGAAAGTAGTGAATTGGGGACTCCAAATTATCCTTTCCACATTGCGGCAGGCCAAATCTATAATCTATAAAAAAATAACAAGTATGTACCCGGGAGAAGGAATTGTTGTTTATTGGAAACTAACAGACATACAACTTCCTCATGGAGGACGTTATCAAGACAAGGAAATCAGTAACATTAAAAAAGGGCACAGACATTCAAAGCAAAAAAGCATTTCTGACTATGTGAAAGTCTGAACCGCACAGGCTGTTGGTACTCACGCTTCACTCCAAAGCTGACCAGTCAAATCCTGCCCAGCACACGACTGCATTACTGCTGCCCTTCGCAAGGAGAAGCTGTGCCCGTGCCTTCCCACCTGGCTGCCGACACCTGGCCACAGGCAGCACACCAGGCACAGCTCTGCCACCTTCCCGCTGCCCCCGGAATTGTTTGCATCAAGATGTACACCTCGGGTGTATTTTACTTTTCTTTTTCCTGTTCTTCTCTATGTCAGTGTTGCAGAAAGATGTGTAAAAATAAAGGCAGCAGCTAGGAAGCTGGGAAGGATATCCCAGGGCTCTGGTTCAGGCTGTCGCTTGCTCAGCACACACACTGTGCAGTCCTCATCCTAAGCGTTGTTGAACAGCTCCTTAATCTAATTAAGTTCTGCCCCCCCAACCACTGCTCTTACCAAAAAATCTGATCATCCCTAAGGGGAGGATGATTCAATTTACCTGTGCCAGATTGCAAGGGACCTCAAGGGCTGTGGGCAGCCTGCTCTGTGATATTCTTGCACTAAACGTTGCAATTGTGATGTCAGTAAAACAAGAAGTAAAAAAAATGTGGATGGAAGGTACTGTCACAGCTATACAGACTTCATAAAATGCATGTAATCTCTTTATCTACAAAGCCTCTGTTCCTTTAGAGTGCATAATTATGAAAGGAGTTATAGCTGCGATTCTTAGTGCCTCTTCTAGGCACTTCTTTATTCCACTAAACGCACCACTTGCATCTGAATTATTTCCTAGGGTTGTTTGGACTTCCTATTATATGAGGAAGATTATGGTGAACCTTGGGATGGAAGCCAAGTCAGTTCACAGTGCTACCATGTTTGATTGAAGGGGTAACTGAAGGCTTGTTGACAGCGTGCCAAGCTTCAGACCTCTCTGGACAATGCAGTTGCCAGCAGGCAAGATGTTTTCAGAGAGAAGAGGAAGAAAACTACCAACAGTGAAGCTGAAAAATGGTTTTAGTAGGGTGGATACATACCCCACAGCTTAAGGTCATGAAGAAAAGAAAACTCTGCATATTGCCAGAGGACTGTGAGAATGACGCTTCTTGGAGATCCCATGGGACAGCTACAAGAGAGTCCCGAGGGCTTCTCATAATGCAAAATGCCTGCAGTCACCGATCCCCCCTGCCAAAAGCACGGCTCTTGAGCACCACAACAGGCCCAGCTGGTAAAAACCCCCTCCTCACAACCTCTGCCTCCACTGATTGTTCTGCAGGGGAATCCTTCCATCAAACATTATTTACGTGCCCACAGCGAGGGGCTATCACCGAGGAGCTCCCGCGGCGGTGCCAGGGCAGTGCTCCCCGCGGCACCGGCTCCTGCTCCAGCCCAGCTGCCCCACATGCACACTGCGGCCAGATTCCACCAAACCCGGCCAGGAAACCAGGCACGGAGACCTGATCAGCAGACGTGTACAACCATGTATATAACCATGCCAGCCTGCTCCATTACTATCACTTTTTTTTTTTTTTAAACCAATTTTAATTTCTAAGTGGAGAAAAGCACTTCCAGCCTCCTTGGAAAATGAGAGCATGCAATCTATAGCACTTCTTTCCTCTTCCAGTTTCCCACCAGACTTAGCTCCTCAGGTTTCTGCCTGACCTGCAGACACCACAAGTTTTGCTGGTCTAAAACCATCAAGGAGCAGACGGCTCCCAGCCCATGAACACCAGCCTCCAAGGAGCCAGCAACAGCCAGTAATGGGTACTGAAATGCAGCAACGTGCACATGCTTGTGCTGGACCAGGAAGGAAAGCTCTCAAGAGGGAATAGCTGCAAATTTTTAAGAGGTGAGCCAGAATTTATCTTCTTCCACCTCCTTATCATCATCCTCCTGGACAAGCCTGGAGTTTTATTTCTTCTTGTCTGTGCAAAGCTGCCTTTTGGCAGCAGTGAGCGCAGGCTGATGGAGCGACAGTACCTCTGGGAGCATCTCCCCTTGTTAAGTCTCAAGGGTCCTTATGCTTCATGCTAGGAAATTTCTCAAAGAAACACTGTAACAATGAATGTCAGTATTTCCATCTGGAGTACTGATCCCTTCGTGTGATCTGAAATACCCGATGGCTGCAAACCATTACTTCTCTTTTTACCAGGAGGATTTTGTGTCATTTCCAACATCTCTCTCTCTCTCTGGAACTAATTTTATCTTTCTACCATGTAAGAAGTGGACTGATAAACTCCAGACCTCACGACTGGCTCTTCAGAAACACATTCTTGTGAAAGATGTTAAGATACTGAGGTGTCTCGAAGATGTGATCACAAGCAATACACTTCTCTAGCCCCGAGCCAAGTCTCAGGGGAGAACATGTTTTAAGAGAGAAAAGAACATGTAAAAAACTTGGATAGGCCGTGTCTCTACAATGAAAATATCAACTTTATGACTTCCTCCTGAACACCTTCGGGTTGGAGGGGAGAGGAGATGGGTCAGCCTCCTGGAAAATGCCAGCTAGATCACCAGACACTGCTGAGGCGAGTTCAAGGGAAAGCCAAGAGCTCAGGATGGGGGTGAAAGCCAGAAACCGCTGCAAGGAATCACTCACCACCACGAGGGAGGCTGCAGGACTTACCACCTCTCAAGACTGTGGAGGAAATGAAATAAAACCTTGCAGGATTCCAATAATGTTCTCTCTCTCTCTCAAAAAAAAGACCCAACAGGGTGGGCCTTGGCTCAAAATAGAAACATCTTGCCTTGTGTCACTGTGAACAGACCTTGCTCTCCATGAAGTTTCAAAAGGTTGCAATAAAATCTACACTTTCTGTACGCTCCAGGAACAGGATATCCAGGCTGCGAAGCAGAGGGAGAAAAGAACTTAAACAAACAAACAAAAACAACCAAAAAAAAACAAACAAACACCAACAAACAGCCAGTTTAGGAAGTCTGGCTTGAGACTGCTAATAGGAAGCCCCTATAAACCACGTTTCATCTTCTCACACACTTTTCTACTGATGAGCTGGGAGTTAAAGCTGGCCTGCTGCGCATCTGCCATTTCGATGGAAATGGGAGTGAGAAAGCTGGCCCTTCAAATCCTCCTGAGAACGGGTGCAGGATCCGACCACTGCAAGAAATGCACACATTAAACCTAGAAAAATTAGAACTCTTTTGCTTTAAGCTGGGTTTTGCTTTGCTTCTTAAAGAAAACAAACACAACAAAATGGTGCAAGATCTAAGCATTCCCCCCCCCAGGCCCAGCAAAGTCAAGCAGCACAGCCTGAGGCCTGCAGCAAAGCTCTGGGCTGAGGAGGCCAGGAATGGCCCACCACAAAGGTGCCTGTACGGAGCAGACTTAAGCTAATCATACAGAACCAATCCCTCTCATTAGGGCTGGGTTAATGAAGCTTCATTACGTTCCTGAGTTACTCCAGCAGATGCCTTTGTTGCTGGTCCTGCTGCTGGCTTTCAGCCTCTGCCTCACCACTGCTCCTCCTTGGATGGGGAAGGCTTCAGGCACAGCAGTCAGCAAGGCCATCGAGAGCGTGGCTCACCATAAATCTCCCTAAGGAGCTTTGGGAAAACTGGAGGTCTCTGTTTCTTGGTGTTAAGTGGAGATTTCTGAGCCACACCGCCACCATTCCTGCAGCATCTCTCCCAGATGCGCTGTGACAGAAGCCATCGCTGGGGGCAGGCCTTTTGGAGCGGTGAGGCCCCTTTTACACACAGAGCACCGCAGGACTTAAAACATGCTGCACGGGAAGAACGTGCCAAAGCAGGGAATTGAACCTGCCCCGCGTGCCCTAGGCTAATGTTTCTGCCACTGAGCCATCTGGGCTGTAATTATTTGGTGTCAGTAGGACTCACACAGCCCCAAGTCACTCATCTGCCCCTAGGAGAGTGCTGGCTGGGAGACAGCAGCGGGAGCTGCCTTGAGCAACGTGCCAGCACACCCAGCCCAGCCCTTGGGGTCACCTCAAAGCAGACAAGAGAAGTTACCAGGCGTGTGTGTGCTCTGCAGTCCCCGACCCCAGCCGTGTTATGGACACATCCTGACACCCTACAGGCAGAGAGCCCCACTGGGGAGCGGTGCAGAGCAGGACGCACACCGACACGCTCTGTGGCACAGGCACAGGGGCTGAACTAAGTACAGAAAGTTTTGCAGCAATGTGGCTATTTTAATCTGCACTGAGCTGTGTGCCAAATCCAAAAACTATTAATGAAAGCAGATGGCTTACAGAAGACCTTCAGATGGGATTCTGCCCATGACCATTACAAAGTCACCCCCTACAAAAGCATACAACAGGATGCTTCAAGGTCTTTAAATAAGACCTTAAACAGGAGCACGTAAAAAAGAAGTGCAGCGTTTCCATA